CAGGTGCGCGTGACCACTCCGTGGGTGCGTCCAATTTGCTATATCACTCGCACTCATTGCAAACCGAGTGTTGGTGATCGTCGGGTCGTGAGTGGCACACAGTGAGAGCAGCCTGTCACCGTTCGCATTCGCTGAACCAATGCCATGCGGTCCGATGTCAACTGTCCACACCGATGCATCACACCTAACGCGCGCGTTGAAATCACCCAGCAGATATAGTCGGTCGCTCTTCGACACAGACCGTATCACGGAGGATATCTGGGTGTAGAATTGATCACGCGTGTCACCAGGATAAAACATGGATAACACACGTGCTTATAAAATTGGCAAACTTACTTCTTCCGAGTCGTAGGCGAACAGTCCTCAGTCGCGCGCTGATGCCCGTTGGTTCACCCACCAGCAAGCCATGGAGGCGATCTGATATAGCAAATCCGACCCCATGATCACGTGGTGCTGGGGCGGCGTTGCCCACCCAATGGAATGTGTAGCCGTCACCTGCTTCATACAACTTGCCTTACTCAGCGGGCAGAGTCTCACTGAGTGCCGCAATATTGATGTGGTGGCGCGCCAGTTCCATCAGACTATTGAGCCAAAGTCTCCGGGTGGAGTCCCTCAAGCAAGCCTCCGATGCACAACCGCTACCTCGCGTGCGATTGCCCACCATTGCAGTCGTATGCCTGCGCGCATGGCACTCTGCGTCGAGTGCTGGAACGTGCACACACTAATGGACCGGAAGTCGAGTGAGCTTTCCAAGCCACGCACTGCACTGGTCTCGATGGAAATGGCGCGCTACCACATCGATATTGCGGCACTCACTGAGACTCGGCTCGCTAAGCAAACAGAGAACCTTTTCTGTACCAAGAAATGTATTTTGCTACTCAATCTGTTTTATGGATTCCCCATCCGGGCTCCTACTAAAAGTGCTCCACGCCAACTATCTCTAGTTCGGCCGATGCAAGTGCCACCGCAGGTACAGTTAACTTGGTAAACCTATGCGGAAGCTACTCGGGTGTGTGTCCAAATTTCTTTCATGCAGTAACTTCCTAGGCTGGTACAACAGCAACAGCTCGTCTTCGTAATAGCACCTTCTGATGAAATGGCGTAGGCGACGGCAGTTCATTTTATCGTTTTGTAAGGTAACACTTTGGAGACCATTTTCTTGCGGATAATGGCATTCTCTTCCTAATGTACCCAGATAAATTTACTAGGGTCCCCATTATCTGTAAGATGAACACAATGCGCTGTAACTCGCTCGTGGTAAACTCTTCCTTGAATAGTCGGAGGCCTTGTACGAAACAACTGCGAACCAGGTATCGTTCATAGTTCATCGGACAGCAACTGTTTCTGTCCAAATCAATTTAGGATAAATCGTTCTTACGTGCGAGTCATCTGGTAATATCTTTAAGGTAACATCTTAGAACTGAAATGTGTCCATCGACCAGCTTTCCATGGTAAAATTCATCTCGAAAGGCAAATGGTCTATTTCCAACAAAATGATAGATAATCTCACCACCGCCTACGACGTTCCATCAGAAAATCATATTACGAAGGCGAGGTAGTGCTGTTGCACCAGACTAGGAAGTTGCTACTTGATTCAAATTTGGACACACTCACTCGAGTTGCCAAGTTAACTGTGCCTGCGTGCCACATGCATCGGCCGGACCCTGAGAGGGTTTTTTCGTGGAGCACTTCCCACGGCTCTTAGAGCTGAGCGGTCCTAAATCATCCGCTATCCAATCATTCGGCATCTGCTTGGTTGCACTATGTGCAAAGACCGTCGTGAATCATACACTGTTATCAATAAGCAGAACACTCCAAGTCTGCTCCGGTTTGTTGAGGCCCCCGCCATCCGGCGACTGGGGGCAACCGTTTACAAGCAACGACTTTGCGGCAGCCTAGACTTGCCCTTTGGAAGCCTTAGACTTTCATTAAAAACAATGAGCTCTGTCCCCACAATATCCAACCCTCGGCACCAGCACCCATTTAGCCTTGCCAATTTATGTAAGCAGCGGACCTGATGATATACGAAACACAACGAATGTAAGTTATCAGATAAATCTTATTTGTTCTTGTCACTTTGAATTTTATATAGGGAAAAGCACTGCTTATGTGCAAAAATTTGGGATATCCTAACTTCTCGTCTTTGATTCCCAAAGCAGGTGAATCAATAGATCGTACATCAGCTGGACGATTACATAGGCCGATGTGTAGTGGAAAAATGGTCGCCACACGGTCCACTCGAGCCGGATCATGCACGAAAGAGCAGCGTACGGTGGGGTAGGAGGTAGCCAAACCATCTCAGTTAATAAAGCAAAACAGTTTGTTGAGGTGAATTCATGCAATCTCTAAGACACGAATTCTAATTTCATCGCAGAAAGCTCGGCGTTGCACCACACACGAGCAATCTTCCTCGAACACCCATCGTCGAAGCACGAACTATGTCAATCACGTGAATTAGCTAGCACTCGCCCCAACTGCAAAATTGGCGAAAACAGACTGTAAACCAGGCGCTTTACTGTGGAATTTGTCCGGATGACACTACTAGTGCCTCGGATTTACGATGACGAAGGATGATTGCATTTCTTCTCACAAAGGCAGATGGGGCAGTCAAGTAAACTTGATTCGGTAAGCCCTGTCATAAAGGATAACAGACAGATCCACCGACGTTCCGAGTCAACGCAGATGCCCTTAAGTGCCTAGCGTCGAGCAGTCTTAACATAATTGCCTATCCGATCACCGCATCTGCTTGTTCACAGAAATTGGCTCAACCCACACACAAGGTCAGGTCAGCTTCCAAGGACGATACAGGCTTCCGCCTAACGAGCGTTCTGTTTCTTGCACCGGTAAGCGAACAAGAGCCCCCGGTACTTCGACGTCTGATTAACTTCCGCAGCTTCTGCAAAAGATCGAAGCAAAAACAAATGCATTCTCTGCACTGTCATACAGTATGAGGCTACAGCGACACAACGCAATGAAATTACAATAATTCTGGAAATAGTTCAGACCGACACCTATCTAGACCTCTTTTAAAGGTCTCTGTGGTGTTGCACTCTATTAATTTTAGAGCTAGCTTATTCCAATCGTTAAGTACATGATTCACAAAGAATTTTGCCCTGATACTCGGCCTAGATCTTTGATGCCTGAGATTCAGTTGGTGTCTTCGCAGGTGATCTGGCCCGGCTAGCTCAAACAGTTCAGTATACTGGATATCACCAAACCTTTTCATGGTTTTAAACGTCACTATTGGGTCTCCTCTTAGTCTGCGCCGTTCCATTGAATACAGATCTAAGCTCCTTAGGCGTTCGGCGTATGGTTTTCCACCTAGACCCTTGATCATCATAGTCGTCGGTTTTTAATTTTTCTATATAGGCGTCTTTCCGCTGGTACGGTGTCCAGGCCTGCACACAGTATTCTAAATGAGGTCCTACCATCGCTTTGTATAACGGAGATAAACCTCAGCTCTAGTGCTGCATAAATTTCTTTTGAAGCGAAACAACTCATTCCGCGTTTTGATGGCAGCATACTTACATTGTGCTGAAGGTTTGAAGTCGTTCGCTACCATGCTTCCCCTGCACGTCGCAGATCTAGAGGCCCGACAGACGTTAGCACCGTAATCCCTTCATTTCGAGTAGTCAGCAAGTGGCCTTTGTTAGCGTTTAAAAGCAGATCTCATTTAGTAGACCAATCTACTACAGTGCGAAGATCCTTAGACAACATGTATTGAGTACTCCTACTGCCGATCTTCTGATCGTCCGTAAAAATATAGCAGGGATAATGGAGAAGGGGAGCCAAATCGTTGATACTCATGCGAAACAATAATGGTCTTAAAACGGAACTTTGGGGAACACCGCTGTGAACAGTGCCGATGCTTGATCTAGCTTCTCCGACCCTACCGCCAAAGGTCCTACCGCAAAGAAGCTCTGCAATCCAACTCAAGTGCTGAGGATGTAGTCCGAACCATTCCAGTTTCGAAAGTAAGAATCGGTGGTTAACGGAGTCGAAGGCCTTACTAAAGTTGAGGTAACATACTTCAAATTAGATTCCACCATTAAAACAGCTTGTCATTTCATTTAAGAAACACAAAAGATTAGTAATGAATGATTTCTTCTGCTCCCTCATTACATCCAACTACCTAGGATGGTTCATGGCAGAATACTGTCTCCGAATGACAGCGACACAAGCCAACTTAGGCCTGGAACACGAAAGAGATCAAGGACGAAGCTGATGCCGAGGAATTTTTCTATCCTATGTTGATTTAGATAGAATGACAACAGTTCGACTCGTTTCATCGGATGCAGGATTTCTCAACAGTGACACGATAGGCGCACACTCAAATTTTCTCTGCTCAAAGTGGCGTTGATTGCTTCATGCATATTTGACAGTAGCATCACTGTTAACGATTGATTCCATGGTAACAAGCGCCAGGAATCGAGAGAGAATGAAATCGAAACAATTAACCGTTTGGAACGGTCACACGTTGAAAACTAGGCAAGTGTAGCTGTTTCCCGTGTTTACGGCGTGATATCAATTAAGTGGTCGTACCAATGGATTTGCACTGTCTTTCATGATATTCACGGGTTTCACGGGTTTCACTCTGTAGTAGCTCTCCAACAGTCAGGAACCAGCATAAGCAGTAAAAGGGGGGGGAAATTACAGGGGCTGATGAGCTTGTTACTAAAACTAGCTGACATTTTGCGATGAATCATCGATGTCTGGTCGAATAACCTTTAGTCCCTTAATCGGTGACTCAGGAATAAGGTTTCTTTATTCTTGTCGTAAACAATGAACACGCAATTCTCGCTCTACAGTTAAGGTAGTTTGGATCTCAAGCCCTGGAAGTAGTCGACATGGGCAATCTAAGTTCGTCTCCGCTCCAATTCAAATGATATGGTTAGACGCAAGAGTAACGTGAACGTTCAAGTGTCCTGCGCTACACGGTCGATATACGTGGCAAGTCAAAATTTGGGGTCGATTTTAGAGTCAGCTAAGGCAGTACTCTAATGGAGAGTACCATCGCATTGCCCGAATGGTACAGAAAGTCGATACCCCTGCATGCGATTACCGCGGACTGTGTTCTGGAATGGCCCGACGAAAGCAACTGTAATGAATTTCCTGTCATCTGTCCCGTGCACGGCATTCTGAGCCGATGGTGTCTGAAACCGGACCACGGAGAGTGCACTTGCGGCTCATCGACACCAGGTGCAACTGGAACAAACGCGGACAGTTCTGAGAACTTACAGAGAGTAACAAAATCTAAAAGGACGACGACATCAATCCAACAACTGTTACAGCAGCTGTGGAAAGGCGAAAACATACCATGTTTGCTTAAAGAGCGAATTAGAGGGACACCAGCAGACCCAGGTAGAGACCGGCATGCCGCTTTTATGGGCAATCAGCTCCGCTTAACCCCTCGAGGTCCAGTAATTGTGAATAGCCATTCGTTACGCGCACTGCTTGATTGTAACAGCAGACAACCAGATGCAGATCCCAAGCAAACGCCGCTAGGTTCTGTGTACGCCTATTTAGAAGATCTCGGGCTATGGAGTGAATGGTGCGCAGTTTTCAAAAGCCAACTTCGTCACGTAGTACCTAATGATGTGGTGATTAGAACACGCCCTAGAATTGTTACCATCTACAGGAAACCGGGTAGCTCAGGTATTTTGGTCAATATTTTCCCCGGGTTGAAATGTTTCGTCACCCGATTGGATTACTCTGAGTTCGCCTTCAGACCGGAGTTGAACTACGGGGACCAGCTGTTAGAACTCTATCACTGCATTCTTCAGCGTGGCCCAATCCAAACTGGGCAAGAGCCCAAAGCTCACGATGTTTTCCACCTTCGCATAAGACGATGTCCGTTTTTAAAGTGGCTGACGATCGCAATGGGTCCTTGTCCATTGGTTACGGAAAAGCCAAATTTCATTGCTAGCCGAGAGAATCTCATGAGTTATCTGGACATGGGTTTTAGTATTCACAAAGGACGCGTCACTGCAGTAGCGGCTAAGTCTCCAGCACAGGCTTGTGGTCTGGAGCCCGACCACCATATCGTGGAAGTCGCAGGAACTTTTACAGCTCATCACACGGACGAACGCATCATTGGCATGTTACGTCAACATATCAAGGGAAGCCCAACGCGAACTGTGGAAATAGTAGTAATACCGGAGCGAATACATGCCCAATTGTGTTCAGTTCAAAATCTGCACCATGTGGTCTCTAACGAAGGGTTCAATATCGACTCGTGGGTACAAGCAGCACCATTTGGTTTCAGGTAAGTCGCAGTGATGAAATGTGGTTAGTGAGTATCGAACAGTGTTTCCTGAGCTCGAGGTAGGTAATATATATATATATATATATATATATATATATATATATATATATATATATATATATATATATATATATATATATATATATATATATATATATAAAGGAACAACTGTCATGAAAAGAAGGACCAAAGATGGAAAAGAGTTTCGTAACATGAACGCCAGTGGTGAATATATATAATTAGCTTTGGAAGCACTTCCAATTACAAATGCCAGAGATCCGTGGGTTCATAACCCCAAAGTCGAGGAAGCATTACTGCAGCCAATGTTGAAGTGACCGGCCAGTGGTCGATTGGTTTGCGAGCCTGGTTTGTAACCATCTGGTCACCGGTTCGAATCCGCGTAGGGGTGGGTATCCTCGCCGTGTGTTCAACCCGCGTGCGACTGGTGATGTTCGCGCGGCAGCGAAACGCGGTTACGGCGTACAGCTGGCGGTTTATATTCTTAATGTTGAAGTGAGCGTGAACATTATCATAATCATCAACAGCGACACATCAGCCATTTGAACTCACGCTTCTCTGTCGTACAACCACAGTGACATGGAGTAAAACCTTAATGCCTCAAACAATATTTAGAGTCAAAGCGCCCGAATCTTTTGTCAGCCATATACCCTCACCGAGAGATGGCTAGCCTGCACAGATAAGGCGGTATCGGCAGGGCAGATGCCTCGCGGCTTTTAAGTTCAAGTTTACTTGGGACCGGAACCATGGGATAATCCCGTGAATGATCCTTCTTTTGCTTATCGTTGAACCGGGCATTGATAAGTCTACTTGAGATGTTGGAAAGCCTAAAACAAAGACCGCATGAGAAGGAACATAAAAAACAACAAAAAGCTGAAAATACAAGTCGGTTAGGAGAAGGGGAAGGTTTGGTGCTACCACCCGCGAGCATCTAACTGACGCTCGAAACCTTCAACCGTAGATTCCCTAACGACGCGCTCCGGAAGCAAGTTACAATGTCCAATAACCTAGCGCGACAAGCGAGTTTCCGTCCTTACCTGGTCAGAACGCAGCTTTTGCGGCATCAATGGTTGATCTCGGACACTAAGCAGCTTCGCTGGAATAAATAGCCAGGACAAGTCTGGACCGAACTTGCCCATTGAGATAGGGTAAATGAGAATCAAATCTCCTCTAATTTTTCAGTAACACATTGAGTACATCCCCAAGGTAATCAAATCTTCGGGATAAATTTACCCCGTAAACTGCAATAACCTTGTACTTACTCGCAAAACCCTCTCCACTTCAATTTTATCCCTTACAAGACATGTTTGACAAGCCTGGATACAATATTCCAAGTAGGGTAGAACAAAAGCTGAGAACAGCTTCACAAAAATATCGGTTGTTAGAACACCGAAAGAGCGGCCAATAGGTCATATCATACGGAACCATTTACAAGCGTCCCTTCTCCAATTGTCCCCAGAGTGTAGCAGTGAGGTGTGGACGATACCTAGATCAACCTGCTGAGTGACAACAGGGATCTCACTTCCACCAACAACATGGCGCGGGGGGGGCTATCAGCCCCAATGCGTAGGACAGAACATTTCGCCTGATTTATAGGCATCGACCATAAGGTTGACCAATCCCAGTTATTATCCATATCACTCTGAATTGGCTCAGATACCCCCATGGATACCCACAATATTCCAGAGCTTGAGGTCATCAGCAAATAGTAGCGACGGTACTTCAAGCTCCTGAGGTAGGTCATTGACATAAACTGCGGAAAACAATGGCCCTAAAACCGAGCCCGGCGGAATTATCTAAGCGAAAGGCTACGTCCCACGAGTACACACTGTTCTCTCTCCTCTAGAAAAGCAGACATCCATTTAAGGGCACCACCAGTTATCCCATACGGCCGCAAGTTTAGTGGTAGTTGTGGAACAGTATCAAAGGCATTCGAGAAGTCAACCAATAGCACGTCTATAGCGTGGCCGCTGTCCATTGCCTCAGCCCAGCTTTCACGAGCTACAAGTAAATTTGTCAGACACGAGAACCCCGTACGGGAACCGTGTTGAACAGCACTGAGAAAATTAAATTTATTCAGGTGATTCTCCACAGCATACCTGACTAGTTTCTCAAACAACTTAGCTATTACGCTTGTCAAGCTGACAGGCTGGTAGTTAACGGGCAGAGCACTGTCACTGCCCATAAAAGTCGGACAGACGATTGCCTCCTTCCATTCCGAAGGTAAGGCGCAGCGATTTTGTGAACACACATGTGAGAGGGCCACTTAGTTCAGCGGCCAATTCATGCATCAGCTTCGGATGAATTGAATCAAGGCCAGAAGCTTTGGATGGATCCAGCACTTGCAATAGCCCGAAGATTTGTGGCTCCGTTATGCTGAGTTCAGTTACGCAAGAATCCTTCGGGAATCTTGTGACCAGCTCAACCTGAGCTAGAGAGGTCTCACGATAAAAGACCAGTATACTGTCCGCTAAATATACAACCTCTATCATAATCGGTATGCACACTAGTCCTGTCCGCTCGTAGTAACGCTGACATAGACGAGTTTGTACCGCTGCGCCTCTTTACGTAAGCAAAGAACTTTGGATTTGTTGAGGCTGCGTCAGCTAAATTCTTCTCGTAATGAAGACGAGCAGTGTTAGGTTGTTGCTTACATTTATTTCTAACCGCTCAGTAGCTTTCGTAGGTGCTGTTTGATGAAGCCGCTTGGTAAGTTCGCCAACACTTAGAGCGCTTCCTGAGCAGGTATTCGCTTGTATGATCTCTCCAAGGATGCTGCGCCTGTGTCTCACTTTTCTTAATGTGTGGGATGTGGGGAGCAGAGATCTCGGTGAAATATACCCTAAATTTCTCCCAGGCTGACTCTACAGTATCGGTCAAGGAGATCACGCAACGTAGAACTGAAGCTTTGTCTCGCATTACCTTAAAGTCTGTCCGGCAAATATTTGGACATGCCGCATCGGTGGCCCGATGGGATTTAGTTAGAGGACATCGAAAACACACGCAGACATGGTAATTCGCTCCTAGAAGGCAGCCGTATGTAATATTACTTACGGAATCGTGTGACTTCGCAGAAATGTGATCCAAGGTAGACGGAAGCTGGTTGTTCATATATCTAGTCGGGATATTCATGAACTGATGCAAAGGTAGTTGCAACGTTAGCTCGTGCCCACTGCCCAACTTCGAGATAGCTCAGCCTAACAGACCTCAGGACGGTTGAAATCCCAGTACTAGATACCTATTTGCAGCCTGACTACGAATAAAATCAATAACCTCCTTGATGATGCATCCAGGACTTCGTTATCCCACAACAACTTTGATCCGGCAACTGGAAAACAAAGTATATATTTGCAACGGTCTAGGAATAGACATAAAGCCATCACAATTCAAAAGAAGGTACAGAAATAGTAAAAAAAACACAACACAACAAGGCTCATGGTTTCTCCAGAGGGCGAGATACTACCCGGTTGCCCAAGCCGAAATAGGGTGTTGACTTAGTGGATACCGCCCCGAGCCTTTGACTGAATAGCTTGCCCGCAAGGCAGCGGAGCGAATTTAGGGAATCGCGCCTATTGTGGGTCGGTAACTGATTGCTCAGTTCATACGCCTTTCGTTTGTTCCTTTGTCAAACAGGGGCCCAATGCTCCCCAGAATTACAGCATAATGTTGCCGGAATACAATGCTTCGCCAGGACGAAGCAAGGGGCAGTGCCTTTTATTTAGTGGCGAGTCACGTTAGCCACGTCACAGTGTTGTCAAACGGACATACGTGGCTTTTTATAGGGAGAACGCTTGCCAGGCGAAAACCCACCACGTCTTGGAACACTGTCGTCGAACCATTTGCTGGAAGGGGAAAATCCCGAACCACCCAAATGGCAACACAAGGAGGTTGTTCGGCAAGCCAGCACAGGTTCACAACACACCCAGTTCACAGCTCCCATAAAGAGCGACGCACGCACCATGGCGGCCAACAGAGTGATCACATCTAAGCAGTGCGTAGCCAGGTAAACACACTTCACTGTCCTTGAGATCCGGAGACAACCAAGTTTCAATGAAAAGGAGTATGTCGGGACATGATACGTCTACAAGTAGACCCACCTTATGCACCTTGTTCTTCAGGCTACACACATTGCTGAGCACTACCCGAAGGAACTCGGCACGACCAGCCCTGGGTCGTACACTGCCACCAATGCTTCCGGTAAGGCCGAATTTGACTTCCGGCTGACTACCTGAAAACCCACGAAACGGGGGCCTTGCTCACCAGCCGCCAGCCTGTTCTTCAGGCTTTTGATAGCTTCCTTTAACTTCAGGCGGTCTGTCAGTGGGAGGACCGGTTGCACGCTGACACTGCTACGCTTGAATTAGCATGCAAGGCGCATCAACGATTTGCTTTCCTTCGGGGTTGAGAGGAATACACGAAGCAGTTGGGATCGCCGATTTGGCGTATCGACAGGGACGTTCCCAAATCTGATTAGCTTTCTGATAGTGACACCAGGGAAACCAATGGAAGCATCTTGATGACGCGGAGCTTGAACCAATGGAGGTCATCCAGCATGCGTTCCCTGGGAAGAGCAGCAGCCGATACAGCAACGCTACGGAAGATAACGCTGCTATCAGTAAAGGAATCACCTCGACGAGGCTCATTCACTCCACGAGTCTTCGACTCGACCCCAGTTTCGATCGGTTTGGCAGAATGTGACACGGTGCGTATCTTTGCCAAAGGAGCTTTGTGCTCCACCTTCAACGGCTTCATGTCTGTAGCTCTTTCAAACTTGGCGGAGGCCTTATGGACTTCCTTAGCTCTTTTCCTCTTGCTTTTAATAGGCACAGGGGCTATAAGTTCGGTCTCGCCTTGGACGGTATTCAGTAAGACATCAGAGGCCTCGTTAGCCGAGGCAAACCAAACGATAGCCCTCACAGTCGGATTCTCATCGACAGCAGGTGAGGTTTACTGCGTGACTTCTTCCAATGAGTCGACATCGATAGA